AACGTCGAAAACGGAGTTCGTAGGAAGAAGATATGAATTTTTGAAATTTATTAAATAATAAAAATATAAAATTAAATCAAATTTCGGTATTATCCGAAGGGGGAGTCACCGGCCCAATCCAGGTTACGCCCGGCGTAACAGCGTACGCCCAGCGTACGTGAGGACTAGGCCTCAGAACGTCCATGTCGCCCCAAATCCTTTATGCCCTCCCATCAGATCCTTCGTCCGAGGATGCGGTAAGCAGTGACGTAGGAGTATGCCCCGCTTAACCCCGTACGCCCAGTGTACCGAGGCGGTTCCCAGCCCCTATAAAAGGGATGCGAGGGTTCCGGGGGAATTACACATTTTCTCTCACCTTTCTTGCATTTTTGCCCCGTTTTCCGTGCACGTGACATCCTGAAGCCCCGGTGTCCATACTCAAGTCCCGAAGGTTGTTTGTGCTCCTGAGATTCCCAAGAATCCCGAGAAAATCCGCTTTCCCGAGTCAAAGTTATGCTCTGTTTTTATCTCGCCTTCTTCGATCTTTCAAGTGAGTTCATACCTCTATAAACAACATTTTTAAATGTTTTATAAATGCTATTTATACAATATTAAGGGGGGAAATGCAAGTAAACACGTGGTTATTATCGTGTGTAACTTAACGATTCACTATATAAACTTTTTATCTAAATAATCATATGTGGTTCATAAACTACTACATGAGTATTCTCGTATGAAATATATACTTTCAAAGACACCTTGTCTTGTGGAAATAAAACGTGTTTATATATATATATATATATATATATATATATATATATATATATATATATATATATATATATATATATATATATATACAAGTCAAATGCTCCATTTTACATTAGGTATATGTGAACAGTTAAGTCACTTTACATGTTATACTTTACATAAAGAGTGAACATTACACTAGGGTTTACTATATGAACGAAACACACTTTGAAAAACTATAATAGGTATAGTTTACGAGGAAATCATGAACATTTACATACTAGGTACACTACATCAAAGAAGATATTTTCTTATACCATAACAAATGGACATTTTCATACGATAATCTGTTTTATACTAAATTTTGTGAGACATTTCACGTACTTTTCAGTATGCAGTTAAGTCCTGTATTATATACCATAATCCCTTTTAGGGGGAGCGTGATACTTGTGTATAGATCTATACGGGATTGACAATCCCACACCTAAGTTGTTAGCTACAGCTAGGCCAGCAGGCCTGGGGTGACAAACATCATAACTTTCCAACGCCTGAAGAACGTTGATATAGGCATCCTGGTCAAATAGCATGGTTATAAGACTCACATGGAGTATTAAAAACACATTGATTTATGGGGTTTTTCGAATGCCTTAACGATTTGCACATAAAACTACTATTTTAGGCATGAAAAACACTATTGCATAACAGTTTTGGAACAAATCAAACAATCATCTACTATGTAGAAAATATGGGATTTTCATGGAACATTTAACGTGAACAAAACATTTTCATTCCTTTTTATATAAACATTGTCACTAAATACTTATGAACTCACCAGCTTAAATCCTAACCTACTCTTTCAAAACCACTTGTATTTCTCAGGGATTCAGTAATACAGGTAAACTGCAGCTTTTGAAGAAGGGACGTTGCGGCGTTAGTTTAATTTCATTTTAAACATCATGTTGTAATTTCTTTTGAAACAAGTACCTTTCAACAATGTAAACTTTTAAATTATATATGTGATGGTTGTATTGCTTTCTTTACTATGTATTCAATTGTTATGATACCACATGAAGTCATCCACCCTCGAACGATTCTGTCGTTCTGGTTTGGGGGTGTGACAGATCGGTACCAGAGCATTGTTTATAGTGAACTAAGTATATTGAACCACATAAGATATACAAACTATAAATGCTTAGGGACTCAAAGTCTTTGAAAAACCGTTTTTACACCTAAAACCTCGTTTTATTTAAATATATTATTTTTGGTCGTAAAAGTACAAAATACTTGCATACAACGATATATTTTCATGGTTGGAACTATACAAGAAGTATTAAGATGAGTTGGACACTACGATTAGTTCTCGATATATGTAATCGAATTTGGGACGAATATAGTCTGATCAACTATATTTATCCGAGATTTGACTAACGTACGTCGAGGAATGGTCGTAGTGAGCAACAAGTCAAAACTTACCAAAATAGACACTAGTATTAAACATACAAATTTAAATACTATAGGAGTATTTGGTGCATACAATAGTTTAATCGACATGTTTAGTGTTACATGTTTTCAAATTTTGTTTAATTCTTATAACCCTATTCTCGTATAGTCAAAATGGTTGGATTCCACCCACCAGGGGACCCCTACTACCCGAACTAGGGCAATGGAGGATGGGTAGAGGAGGGTCCCGAAGAGGATGAAGAACCTATCGAGTTGGATGAAGGGGATGACTCTGGTACGGATTCAGAACCATAAGTAGTCGACCCTCCAGCCATTAGGAGGAACTTCCAGGGACCGAATCCCGTTTGGGGAAGTCACCTCCACCATTGGAGCCAACAACAAGGGATACGTTCTCCCTAAGATATGTGTCGGAACTTCTACGACATCAGGGACGGAGGTTCAGCCGGCCGAGCACTCCCGGTCATGGTGGGCAAACTGGCCAACCAGTCCTATCAATCCGGGGTCCAAGCAAATCGACTTCGCGAAGTCAATGTGGCAGTACAAGTTCACACTTCCGACATCCGTCGACTGGATAGGTTGCAGGATGACACCCATTTCCGCACCGACGCATTCCAAGCACAAATGATTGCAACCCTCACAGAGATGAGGGAACAACAAGCCACCTTCAATAGGCGTCTTATGGAAGCAAAGCAATCAGACGCGGAGTCAAGCTCCAAGCGCAACCTACACCGCAAGTAGTGCTTGCTAAAACCCAAAATTTTGTTATAGATTAGGAACTCGGCTAAAAGTCTTACTTTTCTTTAACTTCTGTATCGGAGATCCTTAGAAGGGTCGAAAATTTTCCTAACTCCAAATGTAACTCGGCATGTGTTTAATATATATGAAGAAATTCAGTTGTGTATAAATTCTTTGACTACCACTCAGATTCATAAGTTATCTAAAACTGTGCAAACTTTTATTATGAGTCCAACTCTATACCATGGGTAGTTCAGTCGAATTTATAAATTGATAAAAATGAAAATTTTATTTACACACCAAAAACTTATGTTCTTCATTCTATTTCTTTATCAGCACAATGTCGCCCTGTAGATCTACACGCCGTGTCAACAACGCACCACCTCCACCATCACCCCCTCCCACAATGGAAAATGTCGCATTGATAGATGCGGTAACAGCTACAGTAACAGCGGCAATGGTTCAAATAAGCAACAATGGTTCTGGTGGGGGAGTAAATAGTTCTACGAATGGCCAACGTCAAGGTCGCCCAGGGGACTGTACATATAAGGATTTCATGAATAGAAAACCCATTACTTTTAATGGGGTAGGAGGAATAATGGCTCTATCCCAGTGGATAGAGAAAACAGAAGCGGTTTTTGAAATATGTTCTTGTCCGGAAGGTAACAAAGTGAAGTTCGCTGCCTGTACTTTCTCTGAAAGAGATCTGACATGGTGGAATGGCCATGCCGAGTCACTAACGCTAGTAGTGGCTAACTCTATGGGCTGGGAGAACCTAAAACAAATCTTACTGCAAGAGTACTATCCACGGGGCGAATTGCAAAAGCTCAAACAGGAACTTTGGGGCCTTACCATGGTAGGCTCAGATGTCACGACCTATACCAACAGGTTCAGTGATTTGGCAATCATTTGCACAGGAATAGTTTCTCTAGAGAGCAAGAAGATCGAAAGGTACATCTAGGGACTGTCACCCCAGATTCGAGGGAGTGTTCTAGCTTCCAAGCCAAACACCTTCGATAGCGCCAAACAGTTGGCACAAGCTCTCGTAGACCATGGGGTCTGCCAAAACTTTGCAACTACTGCACCGGAGCAACCCAGAGGAAGCAATAACAACAACGACAATACCAACAACAACAACAACAACAAGAGGTTCTGGAACAAAAGGAAGGGTCAACCTTCACAAGAACCTTCCAAGAACTTGAATTTGTAGATCTGATGGAGTCGGATTTGCAAATCTGATGAAGATTTTCAAGAACCCATTTCATATGGGTGTTCGATTTGCAGAAGTAGTCAGATTTCTTATGTGTGCGCGCTAAAAAAAACTCATTTGTATGTCTGACTTCTTGTACATGTTTGCAAATGGGGTATGTTCATGCATATACATTTGTTTGAAGAACAAACCTAGAAAAAGATGAACACGTACGCACACTCAGAAATCATTTTTGTGTGTTTGTTTTATGGATGAACACAATTTTTGGGTTCATCATCATTTATGATGAAGATAAGATGAATTGAGTTCTGATTTTCATCACAATTTTTTGTTTAAGATCTGATCCTTTAAAAGATTTTAGAAATCTAGATATGATGTATGTGTGCTCTTTATCTGAAACCAATATATGAGTGTGATGTATGTTCTAGATCTGAAAATCGAAACATTACTTGTGTATGTTACAATTTACCGGAGAAGATGATAGGAACATCATCGAAACTATCAAATACATCGAAAGCTGGCTAACCTCTGATATTAGGAGGTCATAAAGATGTTTTTGAACAGTTCGACAAATTTAACGAAAAAATATAAAAAAAATAATAATAATAATAACACCTTTTAAGTTATTGTCCAAAAAAAAAAAAAAACCCGGAGAAGACGTGGCGAATTTCAAGCCAGACCATTTTCATTTTTCACAGATAAGTGACTTCCCACCATAAAGAGGACGTACAGTAATTACCAAATCCAAACTATTAAACATTGTGCTTAAGCTGTTGAAGAAGAAGAAGATCTACATTCTACGGGCTAAAAAGGAAACAACCTCTAATCGTTTTACCATATCATTCTCCCAGAAGCTCTTCGAAAGATGGGCACGATTGGATTTACAAGTTTCGGGTTTCCATTAAAAACCAGGAACCAAAACCTCCCTGTTGTTGCTTCTGCTTATGCTTCTCCCTCCCCTGAAAGAATCGATTCGGAAGAAAATGGGTGCGGGGTTTTGAAAAGAACAACATCAATCGTATCTCGAGCTTCATTGGTGTCTTCATCGATATTATGGTTCCCGAAAGAGGGATTGGCCGTCGTCAAACAAGGACTTGTAGCCGGTAGAATTCCAGGCTATCTGAACCTAATGAACAAGGTTTTTCCCCCTTTTAATCCTCGATACAATTATGGAATATGAAAACTCTACAATTACACCAAAAATCATCATATATTCTTAATCACTTTTGTTATTCATCATCTTCGCGATGTTAAAACTTGCTCAGACAGTCGAAGGTGTTATTATAATTTATTTGGAAAGGTTATTATTGTCATTTCAGTATTTTTGGTGTCGTTTATTTCAATTGTACTTATCCGATTTCCTGAGATCATGTAGTTTCCTCTTTTTTGTAATGTAGTCCTTCTTGGTAAGAAAAGGTCTATTTCATTGCATAAAACTCCAAGAAGGAAATGAGGAAAGGATCAAATCGGATAAGTACAACTAAAATAAATATCACTAAAAATACTGAAATGACGATAATGACCTTTCCAAATAAATTATCGTTACAGGAGGACTTACCGCCAACCTGAGAAGTCCGGCGGCCATGGAGATGGCTGGAGTCCGATCATTCCGTACGCCTTTTAGGAAGAGGTAACAATTGATTATAATCAAAATAAAAATGTTAGACTAATAACAGAATCTTCCATATCAAATCCTCGTTATTGTATGGATTTAAAGTTATTTTTGGAGGTTAAAGAAACCACCGATCAATAGTTTCTTGTTTTCGTTAAACTTCGGGTTTAATTAGTCAAGAACTTGATCAAACGAAACCCAGCAAAGCAAAACCTGGTGGTAGGTTTCTAGTTCTGGTTTATCCTCTTTTCTACTAGATTCTACAAACTCAAATCAAACCTTCTCGATCATTAGATTAATACACTCTCTCTCTCTCTCTCTCTCTCTCTCTCTCTCTCTCTCTCTCTCCCATCCTATAAATACCGAATTCTTCATTACTCCTTCATATCAAGCAATCAACAAACCCAATTGAAGTTGTTTTCATTTTCTATTTTTCAACGATCAAGTAACATGAAGATAAAAATGTCGAGCACTACTAACCAGGTGATTCGATGCAAAGGTAAACATTTCAGTCATTCTTTTGTTTGTGATTTCCCTAACAAGAAGAATAAGTTTTGACTGTGCTGACTGCTAAATGCTGATGATGAATGTAAATGTAACAGCGGCTGTGGCATGGGAAGCCGGAAAGCCACTAGTGATTGAAGAAGTGGAGGTGGCGCCACCTCAGAAAATGGAAGTTCGAATCAAAATCCTCTTCACCTCCTTGTGTCACACCGATGTTTACTTCTGGGAAGCCAAGGTAACCTATTATTCCCTGATTCGATCATGTAACAACCCAAAATTAAAATCATAAATCATTGTTTTCGAACTTTTCAGGGTCAGAATCCTTTGTTTCCTCGAATTTTTGGACATGAAGCTGGAGGGTATGTTTGATTCTTGTTAAAACCGAAAAGGATTTCTTCTAATCTTTTATTCTAAAAATAATCTAATAAGTTTTTAAACATGAACAGGGTTGTGGAGAGTGTTGGGGAAGGAGTGACCGATCTTCATCCCGGAGATCATGTCCTCCCTGTTTTCACCGGAGAATGCAAAGAATGTGCTCACTGTAAGTCGGAAGAGAGCAACATGTGTGACCTTTTGAGAATCAACACCGATAGAGGAGTCATGATTCACGATCAAAAATCTCGATTTTCCATAAACGGAAAACCCATTTTCCATTTCGTCGGAACTTCAACTTTCAGTGAATACACCGTCGTTCATGTCGGTTGTCTTGCCAAAATCAACCCTCTTGCTCCTCTTGACAAAGTCTGCATCCTCAGTTGTGGGATCTCCACAGGTACAAAAACAAATCATAGTATCTTCCGATTGCAGTTCAATTAGTGTTTTCTTGACCTAATTAATCTTGGTGTTTTCTTCAGGTCTTGGTGCTACTCTTAACGTTGCAAAACCTAAAAAAGGCTCATCTGTCGCCATTTTTGGGCTTGGAGCTGTGGGACTTGCTGTGAGTTTTCTGATATTTTAACTTTATCATCTAAGGTTTATGACGAATGATTTGTTTGTGATCAGGCTGCTGAAGGTGCAAGAATTGCAGGTGCTTCAAGGATCATTGGTGTTGATCTCAACGCCAACAGATTTGAGCTTGGTTAGATTTTGCTTCATGAAACTGTGAATAAAAACCAGTTTGATAAATGGTGAATCTCATATATTTTTTTGGCTTCAACAGCAAAGAAATTTGGGGTGACAGAGTTTGTGAACCCAAAAGATCACACGAAACCAGTACAAGAAGTGATTGCAGAGATGACAAATGGAGGAGTTGACAGGAGTGTTGAATGCACGGGTCATATTGATGCTATGATATCTGCCTTCGAATGTGTTCATGATGTATGAATTTAATCAATTCATCTCTCACTCATATAATGAATTAATGATTCATGTTTAATTACACAATAACAAACATTGAAAATTTTACAGGGTTGGGGTGTTGCTGTTCTTGTGGGTGTTCCACATAAAGATGCTGTTTTCAAGACAAGTCCATTGAATCTGTTGAACGAAAGGACTCTGAAGGGAACCTTTTTTGGAAACTATAAACCTCGATCAGATATTCCTTCTGTGGTTGAAAAGTATATGAATAAGGTAACCCGTTTTATAGCTTCAAAGTTGAATTATAAATAAATAAAATGGCATGGAAGCATGATGAACTTGAGTTGATTTTGTGCAGGAACTTGAGTTGGAGAAGTTCATTACACATGAATTGCCATTTTCTGAGATAAATAAGGCTTTTGATTTGATGCTTAAAGGTGAAGGTCTTCGATGCATAATTCGGATGGGTGAATAAATGGAGAGGAAAGTTTTTAAAAATGTTGTATAATAGTAGCTCATATTTCATATAATAACACATCAAGTGTCTTCTGTAATCTTATTATGTACGCAGTGTTTCTGTGTTGAGATCCTGACTTTATGAGTTTATATATTCCATTGATTATTAGTTCACTTCTCTTGGTAACTTTTAACGTTTTTTATGTTTTAGTAGAAAGCTTAGTTTTGTGAGTTTAATCATGTCTAATGTTTTATTGTCACTTTAAACTCGATATATACCACACTTTAGGACACTAATGGTATGCCTATAAGTGTTTTGGTATATAATTTATATTGCTGTAATCATGTATAAGCGTCTATTACCACAAAAAACATTCAACCATCAAAATAACAAGAATATATACTAAACAATTTTACTTTAATTGTTATTTACAATAACAATATATTTACATAATATGTAAAATAAAACTTAGATAATGTACTTTAGTTATTAAACATAATATGAATTCGTTTTGTATTTCTCTAACTCTAATAACAACATACATATATATTCTTTTACATATGATAACAATCAACAAGGTGCTTAAATTTCTTTATGTAATTATAATAATATGTAATCTAACGTTGGTACATGTTTTATAAAATTCAAATTATACCACTGCTAGGATAAGAAATAAGAGAATTATGGTTATATATAAAAACATTTAATACTAAACTAATATGACTTTAACATAAAACGTAGACAAAATTAAATAAATGGTTCTTCTCGTTTACAAAAAATTTCATAGATGGTCTTTATGAGAATTTTGTTATGTTGTTGGTCCTTAAGGTTATCCGGTGGGGGCAACGTCTCATCGACGTTTTTATGTGATCTAAGAAGAAAACGTTGCTACCCGAGGCTGTGGTGGTAACGGGAAGCAATGACAAGCCTATAATGCGCAAAAACGATGAGGGGGAGGGGGTTGTGTAATGGTAACGCCGTTTTCTCGGTGCCACGTCGGAAAAATGCCGGTGGGGTGTTGCCCACACCGGATAGCTTAAGAATAGAAAATTTTGCACCACATGCCCTTATGTCTAACATTGTTAAACATATGGGTTAAATATTTAAAAATGACTAATATGCTCTTGTGAATACGTGTATTTACATCAAATAATTTTTAATTAAAGAAAATGAAAAAGACCCTATCCCACCCCCACCCCTTTTATCTGTATTGCCCATGCATTGTTGTATCTACCCTTGCTCCTCTATACCCAACACCGTCAAAGTCGGGCATCTCTGCCCTTGCTCTTCTATACCCAACACTGCTCCACTGACGACTCCTTTAACATGTAAAAAACACCCCTTCAACCAATTACAATACCCATTTTATATTTGCCATGTCATTCGAATCCGGAAGAATCACTCATCAACTAAAAATTAAACATGAGAATCAACAAAGTTAATATTCAAAGAGTTTATGTGCATCGAAAAGATAGCACACCATTGGAAGCACCATCGTACACATAGCTTTCGAGCTACAATGGCTTCAACACAAAATTAACACATACTAGAACTTAAATCAACATTCAATTAACCATAAACTTTTGTGGGGTTTTTGTTGGATCTATATGCTTAATAATCATTATTGAATGATATTGCTAATAACATACAATATTATAGGGTCATAACTTAATCAAGTTGGTACTTATTATTTTTTAAGTATTTGATTATTAATAAATAAATTCAACTCTTGTATTTAATTAGAGAATAATTATTGTTTTATGAAAATAATAATAAAAGAAGCAACAAACTCGTTATTATATCATATGGTATAACTAATAAATCGTGTACAAATATTTTAGACACTTTGGTTAACCGTAACTTAACTAGCTAGTTAGTGTTTTATGGTTGAAGAAACTAGAAGACAATTTTTGTCTTTTATTCCCCTCATGGCCTGATCTTTAGAGGTATGTAAGGATGTTTGTCAACCTCCCTCCTCTTGATCCCCATGCTTGTTTAGTTGCCAATACTTTATATTTAAATAATGTATAGGCTTTACTTTGCATGGAGGTATTTAAAGCATGAACAAAAACACTTTTTCTTGGCTTAGAAATCTCTTCAAAAACGTAGCCTTTTCTTCTCCTTCACATTGCTCTCTTTTAAAGTTAGTTTTGGTAATTAAAGTTTCCTTGAGTTGTCTCCTGTAGTGTTTACTTGTATTAGGTGCTTAAAGGCTTAAGATACTCAAGAATACAAGAAAGAACTAGTATTACATAGTACTTTACTCTTGGTGGTGGATATTTGTAGAGAAGATCATCCTCTTTGATTTTTTTATCTTCATTAACACCACAAAACCAAGTGGATTCAAAAGCTCCAAAGGTTATTATTCTAAAACACCCTATGGTTGGTTTTAATGTTATTCTAACCTCTTTAAAATGATCATTGGTGGTTTGGTTTTGTTATATAATCGAAAATTACTTGTAAAATTTTAAAGCTTTCGTTGCGGGTTTTAAGAAAAATTCTCTTATTATATGCATCAAAATCCATCAGTTTCAAATTAGCTACTAGGTTCGATTTTCTTTTAATCTTTGTTTAATAAAAGGGTTTTGTTTAAATCTTTTAGCAAAAGAAGTTGGTGATGACGATCTCAGTGATATAGGAAGTATGTGGGCACCTTGTGTATACCCATCACTGCCAAAACTCATCGCCATGCAACCAGAAACCGATAAAAAAAAGATGAATATAAATATTATAAATAATTAGTGAGAAAGGAAGCAGACTTGAAAGAGGGGTTTTTTCCTTGGGTATAAAGATCGAGATTGTGACAATGGAAGGTGTTGAATATATAGAGGAAGAAAGGGAAGAACAACTTAGCCTAAGACCATCTTCACATCTAAGACCATCTTTACATCTATACCATTTTTTTACATTAAAATTGTGTAAAAATAATGCAAATAGTATTCCAACTTCAACTTACATGTTTTTACACCAATAGTATATATATATATATATATATATATATATATATATATATATATTATATATATATATATATATATATATATATATATATATAGTCAAATACCACTTTCGACTTATTAGATTTTTACATATTTTTTGTGTAAATATTTTATAAAATATATCATTATTAATTTATAACCATTTTAATTATTTAAAATATATGTCAATTTTATGTTTTATAAAATATGTTACCATATTTTAAAATTTTAAAGTATGTAATATTTTAAATAAATTATGAACCTTTATATTAACTTTTATATTTATGATTAATTAATATCAACTTAAAAGATAACATAAAATTATAATGAATAATTATCTTTACTATCTTATAGAAGAAATCTCACTATTTCTAAAAATAGATTGAATATAATAATATTATTTTTTAAGACGTTCAAATTAATAACCTAATAGTACAAGTAGTCATCAATAAAATAATATTAAATTTTAACCTGTGTTTTGAATCCTTATATTTCTCAACAAATTCTATCTCCTTCCCTGAATTTCGGATAATTCAAAATTTGAAACCATCAGAAAATACGTGTTGATTCAAATATCTCTCATGCAAATGGCTCTTTCTTAACAGGTTTTTATTTTAATATTTACTTGTAATTGATTTCATCATTTTTAACTTTTTGTATTTTTATCTTATAAATATATTGGGTGAAGGCTTTATTATATCAGGTTTGTTCCTAAAAAGGTTTTTACTATGTTTATTTAATGTGTTGGCTTTGCAGGTTCAAAGAACTCAACCAAGAGGACCAGTTAGAGCGTTGTATTATCATTAGTTTGTATATTTTGGCATCTTACTTTTGCAATAAAGAACGGTTAAACATAAGATTTGACATGATTAAGGTAGTTTGTATATTTTTCATCTTGTTTAGTCTAAAAATGAAATCTTTTTCATCATTGGTCCTTATAATATCAAGTTTCATCACATGGACTTCCTAATTACGGTGATTATTGTCTTTATTATAAGGTTCTATATAGATTTTGTTCAATATTTTAAGGTTTCGAGAACCTAAATCAATATGAATCCTTTAATTACATACCATCGTTGAAAATGCTTAATTTGTGACCAAACTTGGTTTAAAATCACAATGAACAAGTTGATACCTGAGTATTTTGGCCTTCTTAAAGGCCTATTTATCGACTTTTGAATCACAACACCTGATATTGTAAAGGTTTATTTTTATAAACTATTATTTATATATTTTAGCATTTTACTTAGTAGGATATTAAATTAATAAATGAATTAAGGAAAACGAAAAAAAAATGACGATAAACAGTACAAGTAGTTTGGGTATGTATAAATGGAAGTAATAACCATTTAGGGAGTGTTTTGCAAAAAAAGCTTATTGCTTATTAGTTTATTAGCTTATAAGTTAATAAGTAAGTGTAGGGTAACTTATGAAAAAATGACGTATTAGAGGTTCCCCACCGGAATAAGTTATTTTAATCCAAACACTTTTTTAACTTATAGTGATGTGGAACCTAATAAGTTGTTTTAAAAAAGCTTAGCCAAACACCCCCTTAATATGGTATGGTAATGCTCTTGAAAAATATATATCATTTAATATTCATTTATCGAAGTGAACGCAAAATTATTTTAACTTTAAAGAGATCAAATTATTCGCCGTCCGCCGCTTTGCGCGGGTAGACGATTAGTTATATTTAAAATAAACCAATCATATTTTATAAACTAAAATGTAATAAATATTCAAAACAAGGGACTAAAAGTGTCACATGAATGTTTTATAGCATTTGGTATAAATGAATATTATAACATCAAATTTGGTGGTATACTATTTAGAGTAAATTACACGAATGGTCCCTATGGTTTGGGGTAATTTACGTATTTGGTTCCTAACTTATTTTTTGAACTCGGAAGGTCCCTACTGATTATTTTTGTTACACGCATGGTCCCTACTGTTTTTTTTTTTTTTTTTTTTTTTTTTTTGCGAGATTGGTCACTGTTTTACCTAAAAATGCTACTATTTAAATAGAAAAAAATGGTAAGGTAGATAAGGTAAGGTGAAGGTGGTGGGGTTGGAGGTGTGTTAATTTAAATAAATTAAAAAATCAATGTCAAAATAGTTTTTTTAGGTAAGATAGGGACCAAGCGCGTAACAAAAACAAATAGTAAGGACCTTCTGAGTTAAAAAAATAAGTTAGGGACCAAACACGCGAATTACCCTAAACCATAGGGACCATTCGTGTAATTTGCTCTACTATTTATTTATGTTAAAATTGTCACACCCCCGAACCAGACGGCGGAAACGTCCGAGGGCTGTTGTGACTCAATTGAATACCATCACAATGAATATACATAAAACATA